GGTTGGTTGTTCCCCTTTCATCTGTTCAGTCCCTTCGTGATGCCTTCTGGGAGTCCATACTCAAAGATCCATCGGAGCGAACCGCGGACGATATCGAAATCCTACTGGAGAATGTCCAACAGCTTCCGGTAAGTAGGATTCTTCCTTCACGTCCCTTAGGCTTCATGGTTTTCTCGGGCAGTGCGTGAAACAGATTTTGTTGGCCGAAGAGCTTTTGGCAATTTTATGAGTGGTTTCCTTCAAGAATAGATGCTGTGTTGTCCTGTCCAGATATCTCATCATCCTGTCAAACTAGTGGTAATATTGATCACTCCGATATCTGGATGTACACGACAGTGTTTCTTTAACCGTGAATTGTTGCCAGTTTACATTGTCCGTGAGCTGAGGAAGCACTCCAGACCAGTTGTCTACTGCAAGTGCTATATTTCGTACGGTTGCCATGATCGTGGTACTTTCGCATGTCCAATCCATTGATTATGGAATTCTTTCGCTAAAACTCTATCGCTGAGTCCAGATAGCATTTCAAATTAATCGGTGGTGCGCCCGATACACCTTGTCGTCGTATTTTAATTTAGAATTTTTACTGTTTTGTGACTTGTCCTAAGACACCTCGTGGCCATGTCCGTACCAACTACCGCCCTTGTGAATTCGATACGCTTGTGTTTGAGTTAGGAAGCCTTACAGTTTGAAAATGGGCAAATTGGTAATCGGGACCGATAAGTTCCTTTGTGCCGGTTAGTCAAAGCAATACAACCTGAGATTGAGTTTTCATCGGATTAGGTTGGCCGTTTCCCATCCGAAGCCATCCAATTCCTTTCATTGGGTTGAAATCGCCATTAAATAACAAAATGTTTTGGTTTACCGTGATCACCCAGCTCATTGGTAGGTCGGTGTACTTCCTTTCTGTAGTAACGGTATTTTCCTCAGCTTAGTTCTCGGTCTGTGCCTCCCAAGCTAGCGTTCACGTCAAAGCAACCACCAAAGGTGCACAAGGTCTATTAACGCCCAAAACGAAGTCAGGAACAGTTGTACCGCGCTTCGTATATATAGCGTAAGCGGTCATAACTTTCTGGAATTTCTGACGCGTTCTGGATGCGCCGTTGGCAACGGGCACTTGGCCAATACTGGGTTGGCTGTTGAGTCCAGATTGTTGACCAATCAGATCTCGTTTTGATGCCGGACCGGCAAGCGTCCCGAATTCTGGGCCAAACTCGAGCGGGCCAGACTTCTCGGCCGTAGCAGCGCCTAAAGACGTGCTGTATAGTGGGATCCGCGTGGATTCCTGCCTAATACTTTCCCCCGGTCAAACCCTTCCCTGCTGCTGTTTACTGCGTCCACCTCATAGACTCGATATACATTTGTAATCCCTCATGAACTTTTAACCATTGACTTGTCGAACCAATTTGGTCGACCATCTTTTACGAGCGCTTTTTGACCATTTCGTGTTGTGCCTAGGCGTGTGTCGCGTATTTTATACGTATTTTATACATGTAGTACCGCATCTTTGGGTAAATCTCAAGAATCTACAATTTCCGGCTTGTGATTTTGCGCGTCACCCAAGTGGGCTTTCTTGAATACGTCGAAGTATTCTACAGTCGGATAGTGACATACACGTGGTTATGAATAAGGAGTAGCCACAATCCTCTAGTCCGAATACTACACATGAGCACTGTACACAACGAGATGGCTCAAGCGGTTAGAGTGCGAATTTACTGACCAGAAGGTCCGTGGTTCGAACCTGACCTCTGCCTCTCCAATTCCCTTGTCTAGGCTTGGGCAACCTGGCAGTATGCCAGCCCTCAGGTGGCAAGGCAGCTAGGCACCTGAAGGGTGTTAAAGCTGAACGATTTATCATTTTTCATTTACTGTACACGACGAGGGATTTACATCTTTTCCAGATCCAATGAGCAATTCAGTTAAGTCAGGGCCATGAAATAACCCGCGGGAAGTGGGTGTAAGAACTGTTTGTGGCATGAAGCAGAACCCTTCAGGCTTCAGTAGGCCCTTGTTTTATCGTAATCTCTGAGAGAATGGCAGTGCAGTTTTTCAAGTCAACTACGATTAGAACCATTTTGTATGCATTTAGTGTAGATTCTTCTAACTTTTCAAACATTGAACACACTTATCCCGGACTAGTGCCGGTGCAGTGTCGGGACTAGGCGACTTGTTTATGTGTACGCAGTTGTCATGCAGTCAGTCGATAATCTAAGCGACATTGGTTACTCTTTGGCTTCCCACGTGATCGTCATACCGACACGATTTGTTTTATTGGTGTTATGCCGTACGGTCGGGAAATGCACTAGCAAAAATGCATCGCGTCATTTTTCTGCAGCCTAGCAAGCATGTTTTTTCGAGCGTCCTACCTACAGCAGATCGCTTTAGTTCGACTTACCGATTTGGTTTTGACGGGTGACTTAACTGGAACTCAGCTAAATCTCTCGTTTCATGCAATCTGGGTTCAAACAGAACATAAGGTTGAGGCAAGCTCGGGGACTGCGCCTACCTGATGAGCCTCAAAAAGAGAGAAACCGGTCGTGAACTGTTGAAAAGTTTTCAGCAACCTTATGAGTAGTGTTTTACGTCATACCATGGGCCATGAAGAATGGTGAAATCTAGTGAAAACAACTTCGTGAAGCAGTGCATCGAACTCTTTTATCCGTAACTTCGCAAGCCGCATTTATTTTTGTTTTTTGACAGTCAAACATGAATTTGATTGCTTCATTCGTTTTTGAACCTTTGATGGGCCACTTAACGTGAATGAAGTAGTCTTTGCTATCTGTGTCCATTCTGGGTTTTACATGACGACCTGTTATCCACAATCCTAAACGTCTGATTTGCTATCTAGGTTGTAAAATTCATTTGTGGTAGTGTCAAGAGCTCTTGGAATTTTCAATGTGGATTTTGCCTTGTAAGTGGGGCGAATCTATGCTGAAAAGCCTGGAAGCACTAATTTCTCATTAGGAATCATCACCAGTGCGCATCTCACGGAAATTTAAAGTTTTGGACTCGCGGCTTTCCGGATAGCAGTTGAAAACCTAAAGGACGGCTGATTGGCAGTGTAATTTAATCGCATTTAGACAGTGCCACCCATTCTTCAATCACAGGAACCACATCACGTGATCACATACTGACTCAGTCGTCGAGTGACGACTTCTCAGGTGAAAGATTTCTCTTATCCTAAGTGCGAGTTAATCACATTGCTGATCGGAGCCGCTCAAGTGTTCAAACTACTGGCCGGGAGGTCGTAGGTTTCAGGGTCCTTGGAGTTTCGTGAGGCGCATACTGCTGATAATTTCCAACAAGGATGAACCAGCTGTGCAGTGTCGCTCGACCTTTGTGCATAGATCGGTATCACTTACGGGACGAATTCTCCACTGTAGAACACATTGCCAGACGCTGACTACTTGGTCGAACTTCCCGGCTGTCAAGTCTTCTGGAAGTGACTGTCGGTTTGGCGGAGGCGATCTAATTGCTCGATCGTGAGTTGCTGCGTTTGAAGCCGTTCTGAAACTCCACCTGATTAATCTAGCTAGAAATGAAGCGGTTAACTTTTGGGACACCATCAAAATCCGAACACTATCGTATTGAACAGTCTCACTTCTTGCCTTCAAAATTGTTTCATCCAGGGAGCAACTTTTTGACGAACAAACTATCACGGAAATCTTTCTTAATACAAATACAAACTATTTTTTACTGGATTTGTCTTGTTTTCATTGCCTCTAGCTGGTTGGTTGATCAGACGACTAACCACCAGTAAGCACACGCGAGCTACCAATATTTCGACACATTGACATTGCCTCTAGCTTAAACACAATGTCTGGACGTTCTGTCTAAGCTTTATTGGACGTGGTGTGTGTGTGTCTCATGTTTTGTCCATCCGTATGTGCTACCCCATGAGCTTTCATCTTTGAATGCTGATATTTACGGTGACAAGGTTTATTCATCTCCCTTTGTTGTATTGCCCGAGGTGTCCTAGGTACATCGTTCTGGAGACATTTCGGATCATTCCCAGTTAGTTATTCAGACTGGGGTACTATGAATACCGGATTGCATCGCCGTATGGGACCAGATCCACTTAATTCTAGTCTGTTCGGGGGGAGGGGGGGCTGGCAGTTGCCATGACTAGTAAGACAGAAGTAAACTATCACCATAGGAAGGTAGCAACAGAAACTACCGTCCCGTTGGTTTATCACATTTAGGGCGCTTGTGATTTGTTCGGTAACTACATGTGAAAACGCCTCGTTTACCAAATGAGATCAATAATATCGTTTCAGAGGGGTTTGGTAAACAATTGTCAGCCAGGTTCAGATGCCCCGAAGATCCTGACTCATCGGGTAGTATAGGGTCTATTATGGCTCACTCTTATACAATTAGTACACAATTAGTATGTGAATATCACTACACTACCCAACAGCCTAATTTAATCATGGTTCGTTGGGCAACGTCCGTGAAGGAGTCTCACAAGCGGGTAGTTAACCGTTGTCTGTTTATCGTGTTTAATTACGTCCCAACTAACTTCATGTCTGACACCATCAAAGAATTGTGCGTCACGTTACGGTGAATTGTAGATTTGAATGCACAAGTGCGCACAATTGGAGCCAAATAAAGTGGTCGACTTAGGACGGTGATCAACCACTTGGGCTGTGTGTCGATCGCCGACTGTTTTTGTGCAATACTAACTTCCGAAGTGACCGAATTTTTCTGGTCACATGGTGCCCTCCAACGGCGTACCCGCCACGGATCCAGATTGATCGCATTGACATCAGTTACCGATGGAGTGGATCTGCAACTGACTGCTGTTCGTTTCGGAACAGTTTTGTGGATTCCGACCATGTACTCGTCCAAAGTCGCTTTTCAGGACTGCTAAAGGGCGGACAACTCACTTGGCAACTGAGAGACTGATAGATGTTAAACGAATTTATGAGCCGCTCCACAACCGGATGTCAGTTCGTGCTGGAACGAGATCACCTTTGAATGATGCCGAGAGTTTCGCTTGTGGCGGGCCAGACCCAGGTTATGGTTCGGATTGTCTTGTTGTATGCCTGTGAGGTGGGCCTCTGTGAGCAGCGACTCTGAAGCGTCTTCGATAGCCATTGTCTCAGAACCATAGCTTGTGTTGGCCCGTACAAACGAATTCTCAACGAGACTATTAAAAAACGATGTTACACATACCGACTCATCGTTTCCCGAAAATAGCGCTGTTTTCCCTATCTAATTTAAAGTGGCTGAAGCAGAGAGATGTCCAATTTTTGGCATCGTAGTTGGGCTTGAAAGTCTGTCGGAGGGACTCGCCACCCAAGTTGATATCCGCGTGGTTGGAGACGTTGCAAGATGTAGCTGCTAATCGATGCCACTGGCGTTCTTGTTTTCAGCTTCTATCCAGATTGTCTGAACGAGTTTCCGTTAGGTGATGGTGATAATTTAGCGACGCTTCTGTACACTGTGGTAAGCATTCACGTTTTTCCTCGAGGACAGACCTCTCTTCCTTGTGTGATTCCCTTTCCAAGGGGAACACTTCATCACCTTCACAATTAACGTACCTCTCTCGAAAGCCAAGAGGCATTTCAGTATCAAAATTTTTTGTTAAACCTGAGATGCAGTAAACGAAAATGTGCTCGTATGTTTCTGATCATAACAACTTTTCCACCACGTAGCCAACTTTACTATTTGTTTCATTGCGTTACGGACGTAAAGACGTACATGTTTGTAAGGGAAACTACTCACAAGGTTGCTGAAAACTCTTCGACAGCCCACGACCGGTTTCGCCCTTCTTGGGGCTCATCAGGTAGGCACAGTCCCCGAGTTTCCGTCAACCTTATGATCTACTTGAACCCAAATCGGACTGTTTTCGAGAAATACACTGATTTGCAAATCAATTTGGTTTTCACGAGAGACTCAACTTGAATCTCT